ACATGTAGGTAGGAAGGTAGGTAGGTACATGTAGGTAGGAAGGTAAAACAAGTTATTTCAAAATAATAATTTTAAATGGTTAACATAAGAGAGTGATCTTGACTCTGACAGTGCTTATTTTACAATTGGTTAAAACGTTTAGGGTAGGCATTAAAACTTAGGGAGCAGGGTAACCTGAAACACAAAATATTTTTTGCTTGACCTTATTTACCTTTTTAACTCACATGGCACAAAGTGAAGATATATTATGGAGCATCCCTGGGCCAAAGTAATTCATTGTTATTATATCTTGCCATTTGGGAGTAGAACACTTAAAGAAATTGTTGACAAAATATTATCTATGAAATACATGTGAAGGGATTTTAACCTATTTTAATATTGTGCATCCTTAGGCTAAGTCACTCAGTGTTGGAAGAGTTTGGTCCCTTTGGACAGAGGAGTAGGTCCAATACTTGGCAATAGCAATTGAATAGGTTGTTCCTTATGAAAGGGCAAAGGGATTTTAACAATATTCAGTGTGAATCGTCCCTTGGCATGAATGATTCAATGTTGTATAGATAAAGGGTGTGGCCATCTGGTTAGTTGTTAAAAGAGGGAGGGGCAGAATTTTGGAGATATTGAGGTAAATGCTGAAGTAAATAGTTCTGAATGAAAGTGTTAACATTAAGTGGATTGCAGTAACTTTCTATAGCTTTAAGTTGATGTCTTAAAAATTTACCTGTCATTGTAAAGATGAGATAACTAATGTCAATAGTTGTTAGATTAAGAGAATATGGATAGCACCTCAATGATGAAATTCTTTAACTGTTGAAATTAACAGAAAGACGGATGTTCTGGCCAAGCTTGTGTTCTTCCGACATGTGTGACGACAATGATGAACCTGGCGACCGACACGGTTATACGGGACAAACTGTGTGCGCGTCAGGACCTTTGGAAGGCAGTACTGGACCTTATGGTATAGTAGTCCTGTCACATTGGTAAACACCCTCTCCAGATAGATCAGTGGTTGTTACTCTATAGTCATAACAGTTTCCTTACATATTGTACTTTATTAATCAAAGCGATATTTGATAGATTTCTTTAAGTAGAACTCTTTACGGGGAAATGTTCACTGCAGTTTAGCTTTTGGCTTGTTCACCCTCCGTAATGAGGGTGAAATTTATCACGAAGGGGAAAATTAGTATACAACATACCATACATAGAAATAACACGTGAAGGACAAAAGTTTGACGGGACAAAAGTTTGCCGCTATACAGTATCTTTAATGTGTTACAGACACAACACAAAGAGCGTTTGGACCAGCCAATCAGTGTGGAGCTTGTGGAGTCGTTACTAGGCCTCCTGTCTAACCTGACCTTCACAGTGTCCCAACACCACAAGGAACAAGCTGTCACCATCTGTAAACAGTGCCTCGAGTTCTGTACAAAGTTCAAACACTACAAACTGATCGTATCGCGCAGCTTAGGTGTACTCAGTCACATACTTCCCAATTCAATACCGTCTGTTGACTGGCTCTGTACGGAGAACGGTGCAGAAGTCCTGATGTACCATGTGAAGGTAAGGGAGTGTGGTAGAGTGGATCATTTACCA